TGATGTCTCTGTGCAGAGTTTGGGCTCCCTTGTGTATATTGCATAATAATTATGCCTTGTATTGCAGACTTGATGCTGTAGGTTTTATGCACTAAAATGAAATGGAGTTTACACACTTAGAGAAGGACTTATATAACCAGAAGCTTTTCATCTTTACAGCTATCTCACTTGGCCCAATAAAGGATACAACTTTTCACAACAAACTCTTCCCTCTCCTAAGTAGAAGAGGGGTTCTTTTATAGATAGTGCTATGGTTTTGAACTTTTAAGCATCCACTCTAGAACTTTCTTAAATATTGCAAAAAGGATAATCACAATAACATTGGCAAAAAAGTGATAATTCTGTTTTGCTTTCTCTACTAAAGTATTGTTTCATATTGTTAGGAGTGCTTTGACATCTATGTTTTTTCCTTAGGATATATTAGCCATTCAGGAGTATTATTAAGGGAAACCAAGCAAACTGGTTTTTTGAGTGTTTTGGGTTTTTTTTAATTTTTAAGGTCTGCTATAAGGTGGAAAACAGTAGAAAGTTTGGGGAAAAAAAACGTTTTCTGTGTCCTTTGCTATTAAATATATCACATTGTTGTGCCACTTAATCAAAATTTAGGTTAGATGGGATTTTATACTGGATAAAGGGCAAGAAACTTGGCAACTTTGACTCCTTGGAGTTTCCCTCAAATGCTGTCAGCTGGTCAGAAGTAGATTTGTTCTTGGTATGGGGTGTGAATTTAAATCTCCTGTAACTTCCATGTTGCGTTCTGTGGATGTGGGCCATATGTGCTGTTTTCCCCTGTTCCTTTCACCTCTTGCTACATCCTACCAGGGATTAGGATGGAGCTGTGTGCTTCTAAGGCCGTTGCAGGTGTGTCCTGAAGGTAGTGACAGTGTTTGTACATTAGGTGGTGAATATGAAGCAAGGCAATGATCTTGGGGGATGATTAATGAAAAATCTGAGCTGGAGATTATTGCTATGGCAGCCCTTTAACAAATAGGCTTAATTACCTTCAATGTGCCCATATGTTTGGGGGAATAGACTTAGTGATACCTGTATGTGCTCCTACCTCATCAGGTAGACCTTGCAAATTAGCAAGAACTTACCAGAAGCAAAAGGACTTGTGTGGTGTCACATTTCAGCCCTTGTTTCTGTAGAATGTACACACAAAAAAAAAACCAGTGAAGCACCTCAAGTGCCTAATCTAAAGTGTCAGGGAATAGGGGAGAACCTTTTGGCTACTTGAAACTTTCCTCTTCCAGATGTTTTATATTTCTCTTTCCTAGAGAGATTGAAGGTACACAGATTTGCAGACAAAGGCCAGAGAGAGGCCTTCCCTTCCTGGCCTTGGAGGAGGAAGATTATTTCTGTTTTCAGGTGTCTTCCTCAACTAATGGATACCTTCGGCCACTAAACATGTAGCTGAATTTGCTCTGAAGATTCCTTAGAGATTAAATGTGATGTAGTTGTATGGGAAGGTTGGCCTGTGCATGAGAACGAGAGCAATTTTCTGGATTGCAGATTGTACTATGTGTTTTTTGGAACACTAGTATGAGGAGTATGTAGTCCCAGCAGCATTAAATTAAGTACTTATTACAGCCTGATTCCAATCTTTAGGTACAGTGTTGTTTTCTGAGTGTGGGAAATTACTATGTTTTTAAGATTAGGAAAATGTCTTGGTTCAGACTGCTGCCAGCTGTGTTGGTCTTTCTCTGCAGCTGTGGCCAGGTGTTGAGTAGCAGTAGACATACCAGCAAATGTGATAAAGTAACCCCAGGTTGACTTGCAAATGATGTTTGACTTCTGCTGTTAAAACGTGAGTCACTACTAGATCTTGGACTGGACTCAGACCAGTGACTTGGCGGGGAAAAAGCTCATTCCCCTAAATCTATAGTGGCTCTTAAGGTTTTGCTCTTTGTCCTGTGGAGCCTGATGGTAGAATTATGTGCATGTCTGCAAATTCTTTAAACTACACCATGTAAAGCCCATGCTTTTCCTTGTTAGATCCAGACCCCTGTAAAGTGATCTGTGTTGTTTCCTTTCAAGTGTTACAAGAGTGGCAGAGGGGAATGGAGCTTGCCTGTGCTGCAGTAACTGCCTCCTGCAGGCTGGGCTAGGGCTCTGAAGCTGAATAGCAGCCTAGCATGGTACCTCAGCCTTATGAGTGTTGTCAGACTTAGAGACAGGGTTTTTGTGTGCCTGTTGACACAGCTGTTGCCTAACCTGTAAGCCCTTGCAAGTAGAGAAAGAATGCAAAGAAAACAGTTTTGAAACGAGTAGGGGTGTAACATGATTTTTTTGCAGCAGCTTAGAAACATGGCAATGATCAGTTTACAATTAATTTGCTGTGATTGATTTCCATGTATTGATTTTTCATGTTTCTGTTGTAATTTTTAAAAAAATACTCAAAGCAGAAATAATGCTTAGCCACAAAATTCAGATCTTGCTCAGTTTTATTTTGCAAAATTGACTTGGTGGTAGGATCTAAGGTTTCTGCAGAGATGCTGTCAAGATTAGTGTGAGATGCAGAATTTTAGGGATGGCAGTTATTATTTATCTAGCCTGTGACTAGTTCAAGGAGTTATTAAAATAGTCTAGGGATAATTTGGTGTCTTTAGGATGTCTACAAGATGAATCTTTTTAATGTAGGTAGGTCTTACTGTCATGGCCCTGTAGAACATCATTTGCTCTGTGTGTAGGTGGTAAAATAAATCCCAGCAACAGCTTTGATATTTAAATTGCTCCAGAACACCTAGGGACCACTACAGTAGGAGATCTCATGGGAAACCAAGGCTGAAGAGAATATGAGAAAAAAGTTTTCCATTTCATGTCGAATACTCTGTGAGTATCTGATACAATATAATTATCTGTGAGCCTTTTTGCTTTAGATATCCAGTTATGAACAGTGTAATGTTGGCTAACCTGCAGTCTGTTCTCACAATTGGATATGAGGAGCTAGGCTATGACATTTGTGTGGGGTTTTGACTTCCATGGAGATTTTTTGAAGTTTAAATGTGGCCATTTGTGATTGACAGTTCATGAATTAAAAGCCTGATTCTACAAAAATTTTGGCAAGTTCCCTCACCTTGCATCCTGCTTGGTCTCCTCATGTGAGACTGCTGAATTGTTAACTATATTACAGGTTACACCCATCGAAAGAAAGGAAGGGCTAAACCCCACTGAAAGTGGGGTAACGGTTGTACCCCTCATGATCCCCACCCTGTGCTTCTGTTTGCCTGGGGGATGGGGACTCAGGAAATAGCAAGAATGAAAGGGCAGCACTTGGGTTTGCTTGCATGGAATCATTTTTTAGCTAGAGAGATCCCTTCTAGATTCGTGGCAAAGAGGCTTCTCTCTAGTGCTGAGAAGTATGTGCACATATTTAGTGAGTACCTTAGATGCTTTCTCACTGGGGTAGAGGTAAAACACAGTTATAACTTTTAGTCTCTGTTCATTTGTCATTTCTCTTAGTTCACTTCTCTCTCTTTCTTTCTTTTTTTTCTTTAAACTTAAATGAGTACATGCAACATGAAGTCCAGGCAGGCTTTTTTAATAGGTTGAATATTTCCTATTCGTATTTTCCTTTTTTAAAAAATGTTTTCCCATTCCACTGTTATGCAAAAGAGCCATGCAAGCCGGAAGAGGAAGTTAACATGATTATACAAAAACAGCCAACCCTTCCTCCGACCCCACGCAGAGCAAAACACAAGAAAACTCCAAAACTCAGCAAAACAAGCCAGACGCAAAAGGCAGCGAATACCCTGAAAAACAAAGCAGTACCTTGGCAGTTAATTTGTTGAGAGGCTTCTTGCTCCCCAGCAGTGCAAGAAAGTAGAATTCAAAAGCCAAAGGTTTTGTTGTTTGGGTGTGGTTTTTTTCTTGGGGTTGGTGACAGTTTATGGGAGGTAGATGGAGATAGGAGTGTGGGCAGCTGCTGGAATTAAACAAATTAAGGTAGATGATCTGGAGTATAGCTCACTGTGAATGTAACTTGTAACCAAGTATCTAAAGTATACTTAGTATCTAACTGAGTATCCATTTCTTACTCCCCATAAAGCTTTACTGAGTCTCTCAACTTTCCTGGTCTGCATAGCCCCACACATTCAGTGCTTCAGGGGACAGAAGAGAAGAGGATACTGTTTGCACAGTAGTGTTAAAAATAGCCTGGGGGTTGTCCCTAAAAATAACCTTGAAAAAGCTGAAGTGAAGATTCACTGGACACTTTCTTAATTTGGAGCAAGCTCTTTGGGTTACTTTTACCGTTCTTCCTGATAATTACTCTGTTTAAAATAAACCTTTCTGCAGTCTGGAAAATCATTTTAGTATAGCATATAGCTAGCTGCCCTTCCTGTTCGACACTCCACTCTTATTCTGGACAACAAATGACTGTGCACTTTTGCCCGGACAGATGCACTATCAGAGCTTTGAGAGACCCAATTTGTTCTAGTGCTCTTACCTTTCTGTAAACCCTTTGCATCTCATAGCAATGCTGTAAGCATAAAATATCTTTTCAGCTTCTTCGTCTGACCTTGCAGTTGTGCAGACGTTTGCATTTAAATGTCATTCAGCACTTCTCATAAAATTACTTATTTGAAGACGTGGCTTGCTTATCACCTAACTTTCTACTCTTAATTGATAAGACTGACTGTTCTGTATAGGTTGCAAACTGGTTGATACTTTAATAGAGCAATAAAGTGTGTTCAAGTGATGCATCCTTAACAATGTTAAAGACAAAGTGAGGGTAACTAGTAACCAGAACGAATAAGAAAGGAATAGTTTGATGAATCACTCTTCAGCTATTTAGATAATTTGAACACGTTATTGGTCCAGCAAAAGGAAATGGGAAGAGATTTCCCAGGGAAAAAAGCCTCTGCAACTTGTACAGTTTATGTTGAGCAGAGATTTATACATCTTGCTCACAGGCTACTGCAAGAGTGTTCCCTGTTAATTTTATATGATACAGTTAGTGAAGCATTACCGAAAATAATTGTATCACATGTATTTTTCAGATCTTTGCAATGAGTTACCCTGGTTATCCCCCAGCAGGTGGATATCCGCCAGCAGCCCCAGGTAAGCTGTTTGGATGAAGTAAATGTTAAGTGACAGTGGTGTGTTTTGTTTTGTTTTTTTTCAGGAATAGGAAGGTGGAATGAATGTAAGAACAGGCCCCTGGAGGGTTTTCTTGAGTCATTGCAGCTCTCTGTGTTCTCTTTTAAGTCTCATTTTATCCTGGTCAGAGATTCTTGGTAACGTGATTTATAGAAGATGGATGCTCCACCCTGTGTCCATATAAAGTCAATTCATCTCAAGTTATGCATTTAAAACTGGGAGATAGTCATCGTTTTGGCCAAGATCGATAAACATCAAGGAAGTATCCTGTCAGTAATACTGAGTCATGAGAGCAGCTGGTGAGGAAAATTGAAGGGGAGAAATCAGTTGCACAATTTAAGACTTATATCCCACAAAAAATCAGGGCTTTTATTTATGATATTATCCCTAATTCACTGCTCGTAAGCAGGCAGTTGTATATGGAAGGGATGTGGCCGTTAAAAAGGACGTTGGTTAGGATAATATAACGTTAATGAAATATGTAACTACCGTTTGGTGTCTGAGTGAACTTTTTAGTTGTTGGCAATGACAGCACAGAAAGAAAGGACTGGAGTTGCATGTATTTGGCAAAGTGTGGAGTTATGGGAGCTAACTCAGAAATGGGAAGCAAAGTAGCCAGGGTACCCTGGGATAAAAACTGCTATTTCTCAGTAGGGTGTTCTAGCTCAGGTAGACTGCTATGCTGACAAGGCTGTACAGCTGTGCACAGCCAAGTTGTTTTGTTACTTGGCCACGTGTGAGTGTACTGTATTGTGCTCTGTACTAAACTACCAGCCTAAAAGGAGCTAATAGTATCCTTTCTCTTGGAACACTCAGATAATTTTATGTGGTTTAAGACAAAATTTTTTCTAATCAAAATACGGTGTTACAAGTACTAACTTGTGAATATGAATCTTCTTCAAATATGTTCAGAGTTATTTTAAAAAAAAAAAAAAAGAATGTACAGATTCAGTGGTAGCTACCATGATTAGGAATTTCCACTGAGGCCTTTCTTTGTTTCACAATTGCACTGTGACTACGGACCTCTAATTTTTCTCCTCCCAAACTGCCAGTATGTGACAGACATTACATTAGAAATAGGTTTGAAAATATGTAATTTTTTGTTTCAGTACAGCTGTTCTTGATTTCAGGTAGCAATCCTTGGGGTGGTGCTGTTTATCCACCTTCAAATCCACCTCCGATTGGTCTAGAAAACGTGGCTGGCTATGCCAATCAATTCAATCCAAGCTACATGGCCGGGATGGTGAGTTTAATTTCATTTAATATATTTTACTCTGACTCAAGTGCAAGGCTCTGATTCTGGCGTTGCAACACAGTAGTTTATTACAGATGTAGTTTGTGTTCTACATATGAAACGTGCAGACTTGCAAAAAAAAAAAAAAAAAAAAAAAAAAAGGCTATGTAAAGCCAAGCCCTTATGTCTGCTGCTGAGAATTCAATGTCATCTATTGAAGAAAATAGGTACCACAAGCTATTCCTTATTTTAGGAAAGCAAACCACTTCTTAAATGTTGGGTTTTTTTGTTGTTGTTGGTTTTTTTTGTTTTAAAGACCTTAACTTCAAAAGCCATGAATATAAAAGTAACTCAACTTTGCTTTTGCTGTGCAGAGGACTAGGGAGATGACCCACTAACACTGAGTATCCATTATTGAAATATTCGTTTTGGCAAACGCAATCCAGGTTTTGTGCCTTATCTGGCTTTTGGCCAGTCTGAATAGGGAACCAGGCTGTGAGGTCTATGTAACAGTGACTCATACCCAAAAAGAATACAGGACCAGGCTGTCTTTTGTAACCACTAATGTTTAAAAGATGTACGTTAAAACCTTTTATGTTGATTGAAGAAAATGCAGGTGTTTCCATTGGGGTGGGGGGGGGTTGTATTTTTTCTTTTGGTTGTTGCTGTTGCTTGTTTTAGGTTTTTGTGTGTGTTTCAGTGTTTGTTTTTTTTTTTTTCTTGGAGTAGAACTGAGTGACATTTCTAACAATTTAGTCTTCAGAAATCTATTATATAAAGAATATACAGTCTATTAGAAGACACTTACATCACAGGTGCCTTTCTGAGAATTTATTAAGTGCAGTGATTTGGCAGCCAGCAATCCAAATGAGCAACAAATTACCTGGGGTGCACATAACAATATCCGCAGCAACTATTTTGTGAGAATACTGCAGTCATCAAACGTTAATTCTTCTGGATCCTCTGTAGAAGAGGGTCAGAGTGTAAAAATGTGGGAAGATGATACTGCATGTGGAGTGGAATATCTGCTTTTTGGTTTCTGCCAAATATAGTCCAAAGACTCCTGTTATTTGTAAACCATTAATGCATGCTTTTCCCTTATAAAACAGCCAGGAGTTGCTCAGAGTAAATCCCTGTACTTAAATGTTGCTGTGATTAGCATAAGGCAGCCATGGACAGAGAAGGAATAAGCATAGTTTTGTGTTGCTGGGATTAATTGTTGTGATCTCTTTTAGAACAAGAAGTGTGTGGCTATTGGTGGTTTTCTGAGTGAGTGGAATATAATGCTGGATGCAGTGGTTATGTATGTGACGGTGGATTCTGCTTTTTGGTGTATGGCAGCTTATGATTACAGTGAAGCAAGAGTCAACTGAATATAGTCTCTTCCATCTTTCTTGCTGGTAAAATCTTTTTATTGCAAAGTGATTTTGCAGATGCAGACCAACTATCTGTGTTGTGTATGCTGTTTTTTGTTTTTTAATGCTTTTACTATGTTAAGCATGTTATTGAAACTCGACCTATTTTACACCTTACTATCTCTTGCTTTGTTGTCTCTCACTGCAGGCTTCCAGTATGGCAGGGACCTTTGGAGGGACAAACGTACCACAAGGCATATATCCTTCAACACCTGGGGGTTATCCCCCAATCCCTCCCGGTGGCTTTGGGCAACCTCCATCAGGACAGCAGCCCTCTTATGGGGTGTACCCTCCACCTGGAGGAAATCCACCATCAGGAATGCCGGGCCAGCCCATGCCACCTTCAGGTCAGCAGCCTGTGAGCTATCCAGGGCAACCGCCCGCAACTTATCCAGGGCAGCAGCCCATGCCATCACCTGGACAGCAGCCAATGCCAAGTTATCCCGCAGGCCCAACTGTGAATCCGTCTATGCCCTCTTACTCGGGCTCTGCAGTGCCTGCAGTCACTCCTGGAGCAGTAAGAGCATTCAGTGTTTTTGTTTAAAACGTGACTGTGTATGTTTTTATACATTTTCTTTGTATGTTTAAGAGTAACCTAAGCCTGAAATTGAAAACACAGGCATGAGAAGAGGTTTGACTGGAGAGAGAGAGAGATGGATCTTTTCCAGCAATATAGACTCATACGATTTAAAATAAATGCTGTTTTACTGCATTAACCCAAGAAGAAGGTTTTCAAGTGAATTTGAATTTCATTAAATTTATCTTTCCTGAACTTAAGTATTTCCAGTTATGCATACAGTTTCATTAGACCTTAATTAATAGGATAGCATAATATCAATGAACTTTTAATGAACTTAATATCAATGAACTTTTTTTGTCTCTCAAATTCTGAGAAAATACAGTATAGAAATGAAAAAGTTCTTAAAGTTCTGTTGAGTTTCCTTTACTACCTAACAAAAAAGAGAATCGGTAGTAGTGTTTATCTTTTCTAAGTAGTAAAATGCAGTCTTTTGCTGGTTAATACTAATATGCTACTCAACTTCCTATGATTTAGTATGGAAACCGAGGTACAATCACTGATGCACCAGGATTTGATCCTCTGAAGGATGCGGAAGTCTTGAGGAAGGCAATGAAGGGGTTTGGTGAGCAGCCTGTGGATTTACATTTCAAGTTAAAAGTAGAATTGCAGCTTTAATTCAGCACTGCCTTTCTCCATTGTTACATATGTACTGGGATAGTTCACTCGTGGTTATCCTTGATTATCCGAAGAATTATTGGAATTGAATGTAGGCATAAAAAACATTATAAGTTTGATATGTTTTTGTTTCTATTCTCATTGTGTTTGTGGTTGGGAGTAGATCTACACTTCTGTGGTCATAACAAGAAGGAGATTCAGTAGATGCATTAAAGGCACACATGTGCTTCAGTTGAGCTTAACAGAGGTAGGATCAAATTATAATAGAAAGCTGAGTCATCACATGACATGCATATGCTCATTCTGTGGTGTCTGTGTGTGCGTACAGGAACTGATGAGCAGGCGATTATAGATTGTCTCGGAAGTCGTTCAAACAAACAACGACAGCAGATCATCTTGTCCTTCAAAACAGCTTATGGAAAGGCAAGTGTACTACAAGCACAGAACAAGGAAGAAATAGAGCCTATCTTCTCTTAAGAGAAGTTAAGAGTTGGTGTCTGATGAAAACAAAAAACAAAAAAACTCGTGGTTCACAAATCCATAGCTTGTTTAAGGTTCTGATTTTACCCACTCTTGACACCCATGCAGGGTTTCTAATGAAATGTGTAAAGCTATTTCTCTGCTAAAGTTACTTTGACCCTTTGGTCTGTGCAGTCTATTTAATTTGAACTTAATTACCTAAATATATGTGGTAATTTTGCTTGTTTTAGCATTGTTAAATGAAATAGCTTTACTTTGTGGATGTATTATTGATGCTTACCCATAAAGACTTCTAGTTAAACTCCACAATTTCGGTCATCGTATTTCTCAACTGTAGTCTTTATGCTTTTTCTTTTTTTTTCCCCTTGTTTTTACTTCTCATTAGGATTTGATCAAGGATCTCAAGTCTGAGCTATCGGGTAACTTTGAGAAGACAATCTTGGCAATGATGAAGACACCTGTCCTGTTTGATGCTTATGAAATCAAGGAAGCTATAAAGGTTTGTGTGTGAGATTTAAATTTAAAAGATGGTGGAGATACTTGAGGTAAAACAATTTTTGTTAGTCATGTAGAAGTCTGAACTTAAATTCCCTCCGCTCCTTTCAGGTGTTCAACCCACTATATGACTGATCTGTACCCCATTTCTTGGAGACAAGTGATAGTAAAACTGAGAAATATTGTTCTGATAGATTATTTATCTAGAGGTAAAGACTGCTTTATGGGTTTGTGTTGTAACAAAAATATAAATACAAAAAAAAGTCAGAAACTTAAGTTCTAGCATAGACTGTGCAGTTCATTCATTGTGTGATCTTGAGCAAGCTGCTGAGGCAGCTCTCTTCCAAGCTGGGTACTCTGTGGACACCTTTGTTTCTGAGTTTTTGCTTTGAGCTGTGATGGCTCTGAATATCAAGGTGCTCAACTTAGTTTCTTATTCCTTTACACTCCCTGCTCAAAAGTACCTCTGAAAACTGGGTTCATAAATTTTTTGGATGGGGTGTACCTTCTTTCTCTGTTTTCCCAACCTGTAAAGTGTATTTTCCTAGCTCATGCTGAGCATTTTCTGAGGTATTATGGATACTGTATATTGGGTACTGTTCCTCTTTACAGCAATAAGACAGACCTATAAGAATTTTTTTTCTTAATAAAAACAGGTCAAACGGTTGTATTTCAAGAAGATGTTTAAGTGAAGCTAACGTAAACATTTCCATTACTGAGTCAGTACATATATTTAAATATTCTTTGGCTGTTCTTTTTAAAAAGCTAGGAGGATGAAGTAGTATTAGCTGCGTTGTGATTGCAACTGTTATTATTTAATAGATGGTGGAAGATACCTATTTAATTAACAAATCTTCACTAGGTAGAAAAAATGGCTTCTTACAATGCCTGAAATCTGGTATGGAAGATGACATTTTAAAATGAAATTGTTCATTGATAAAACAAACAGTTCATTAAAATAATATCTTTAATACCCAAATGTGCTTGGAAATTTCTGTTATAAGTAGCATGTAAACTACTCACTTTGACTCCTGTTATAACAAGTTGCTATTCTGAATTGTATTTGGTTCTACAGCTTTATTGCATTTCTCTCATAGTAGGTTGTAAAAGTCAGATGAGTATCTGAGAAGTGAATGTTTTTTTTCTGTATGCTTTGTTTTAGGGTGTTGGCACAGATGAGAATTGCCTCATTGAAATTCTAGCTTCTCGCAGTAACGAGCATATTCAGGAACTCAACAGGGTCTATAAAGCAGGTTAAATTTGTCACTGTTCCATCAGATTTTTCTTGCTTTTTTTCTTAGTCACTGACTAAAGATAAGAGTTTCGGAAATGAGCAGGGGTGTATGATGATTCGTGATTGTGACTCTCTTCCAGAATTTAAGAAAACTCTGGAGGACGCAGTCAAAAGTGACACATCTGGACATTTTCAGAGGCTTTTAGTTTCACTTTCTCAGGTACTTGCATGCAGGGCTTTTTGGGGTTTGGGTTTTTGTGTGTGTGTTTTTGTTTGTTTGTTTTTTGTTTTAATTTTTTTGGTTTTTTGTGAAGACCACCAGCACAGCCTTTGTATCTTTAAATTCTTTCAGGGAAACAGAGATGAAAGTACAACTGTTGACATGTCTGTTGTCCAAAGAGATGTGCAGGTCAGTAGGAAGTTCACCATAATTTGTAAGTATAATCAATTCAAAACACTGAAATTTGAGTATGTAATTCCTACTTACTCTTCCTTTTCGGCAGAGTGTGATTTTTTTTTTTTTTCCCTGGTGTAGGGCTCATGTTTCAGGGGATGGAAGGGACGTGAAAAGCCCTAATAGAGCCATGCAGCTCCATTGCAGAGATGAAGCTTTTGGGAATAAGTTTTTACTCTCACTCCATCCATCTTGCTTTTCCGGGTTCTGTTGAGTGACTGTGCCTCTTACTAAAGCACAACAACTAAGTCACAACTCTAAAGTGAGATTTGGATTGATGTGCATGTGGAGGGAAACTTAATCTATTCCATACCCTTTGCCTGAAATCTAAGGAACTCTAGATTTGTGCAGCAAGTAGGGCACTTGGATTTAGTAATTTATACATTACTTTTTCATTGGGTTCTGACTCACCATGCAGCAAGGAGAAAGCTCTGGATCATTTCAGCACATGATTGTCATATGAATAGTAATGCAATTAACTTTCTGCATAGTATACCTTAGCTCAAAGATGAGAAGAGAAATATGAGCATCTCAGAACATCTGTAGAGGTGTGGAAAAGAGGCTAGACACAAACTCTGTTAGGAAAAATAGTTTTCAGCTTCTTAGCTAAACTTTTCCCCCTGGAGTAGTCTGGAGCTCTTGTGTTCGGTGCTTAATGCATCAGTAAGCTAAGACAGCTGCAAATAAGGCTCCTAGTGTGTTGCGTGAAGGTTAGAACTAGTTGCTACTTACTGCTTGCTCCTGTTTTCCAGCAGTATTTAGGCCAAGTGATAAGTATAAAAGGAGGAGAGGCTGTAAGAAAATGGGTCTATAACTTAATTTTCCAGCTTGACTGCATGAATAATGAAGTGTGAATTCTGTGTTTAGGAGTTATATGCAGCCGGAGAGAGCCGTCTAGGGACTGATGAGTCCAAATTCAATGCCATTCTGTGTGCAAGAAGCAGGGCCCACCTCAGAGCAGGTAATGGTGTCCAGACCTCTGTGTAAGCATCAGCTCTATTCAGTTGTGTGTAATGATAAAAATGAGTAACGCAGTTCTGTGCCCGAGTTCTGCTATCTGCAGAATGGGGGTAACGATACCTCAGAGTAAAGCAGGGTGAACTCTGCTGATGGAAAGGGCTATGCAGGAGCTGTACGTTATGATTGTCTGTCTTAAAGGTCGGAACTGGTAGAGGTCATATTTGTTCAAATGTTTCCCTGATAAAAGAAATGAGAAATTAGAATTGGCGTAGTTGTGCATGCTTGTATGTATACAAGCACACCTGCAATGATGCTCCACCTATTCCCTTTTTTTGTTGCTAGTGATAGTGTGTTACATCAGTCCATAGTGGTGTAAACGCTTTAGTAACTCCACGTCCACAACCATATGGAGGGGAAAGGTGGAGGTAGGGGAAAATTTGAATGTTGTTATCTTGATTTTATAGACAGCCAAAACTTTCCGGGGAGAATTCCACTGTTTCCCTTACTGCACTGCCTTGGACTCTCTCTTTAAAAATAAGCAAGGAACTAGACAAGGTAGAAAGATCACGATGCCATTTAAAATAAAATAACGTTGTTGATGCAGTAGTGTTAATCTTAGAGGTTTTAAAACCTCTATGTGAGCACACTGTAGCATAAGAGAAAGTTGAGAAGTGTGAATGAAATAGTGTCCAGCATGCACCAGTGCCACTGCTTTTGTGAGACCAACTCCTGAAAACTTTCTCTTCCTTTAACAGTTTTCAGTGAATACCAGAGGATGTGTAACCGGGACATTGAGAAAAGCATATGTCGTGAAATGTCTGGAGACCTGGAAAGGGGCATGCTGGCAGTAGGTATGTTCCATCTTGGCAATTCCGTTCGTGGTGTCAGTACTAGGACGGGCTGCGATGGTTATATTTGTGACACCAACTGAGGCTGCTGTTCTTAGTCATAATTCCAGTTTTATGCTTTTCCTGTTGAGCTTTCGTGGGAACTTGCCTGTGGTTAATAAAGCATTTAAAACACCTCAGAATGACAGATGAGGCTTTTGCTTCAGGCAGCGGTTGGATTTAGATTTCACATGTTCAATTTTGAGTGTTAAACTGGGGAGAGGTAATTAATAAAAAGCAATGAGAACGTGTACCAATCACAGAGGCAATGAGGATGATGTACATGACAGCTTTGGAAATCGAGCAAAATATTTGGGCATTAACCTCTTATTTTTAGTAGACAGAAAACTTAAATTTGGTTTCAGATAGGCTGTTATTTCTCCTGGCTTACAGCTTTGTCACATCTTCATATAAATGCCTCCAGTACTTCTGAAAAGCAAAGACTTACCTCAGGTCTACTGTGGTCCCTTGAAAAGCAGTCACTGTTTCCTATGGTGTTTGGGCAAGGCCCTGAGTCCTTGTGCAGCAATTATATTTGAAATGGCTTATTACAGATACAATTTTGGATCTCTCTCTCTCTCTCTGTTTCAGTCTCAGTTAGTCTCTCTGTATGTGTGTCTGGCTCTGTCTGGGTCTCTCCGTGCTAAAGCTACGGAAGAATTGTTATTAACGTTCACCAAATAGTTTCTTTATTAATTAGATTTTAATTACATAGATCAGTTGATGACTTCAGCGTGATTTGTTCTGTGCACCTTATTTTCATGAAAAAGATTTTTCTAATTGAAAATATTTGATTTTGCTTTCTTTAAAGCTTTCAGGACTGTACAAATGGTAATTTACAATAACATTTCCAAGTGCAAGTGTGTTATTTTAACTGAATACAGTGATCAAGAGACAGGCGTTTCGTGTGCTTTGTCACTTGTTTTGAATTGGTTTATGCGTATCATTGACAATTGTATATGTGTTGAACTGCTATTTCCCGTCTACGTTTTCCTACTGAGAAAAATACTTTTTCTGTATAGAATGTGCATTGCTGTGACTATGTATTTAGATTTGCCCCTTTTGTTCTATCTTGATCTTATGTGATTGCTTTTCATACCTTTTTGTGCCACGAAATGAGACAAGTGTGGTTTGTTTTCTGTGTAGTTTGCCTTAGCTTGCATGACTGTGTACTGTACCCAACATAGGGTCATTATATAGATTTTAATTCTGATGATTAATGAAGAATTCTCTTACTAGCCTCATTAATATAATAGTAATTTGATTTAGATTTTGCTCATTCAGATGTCTCATAAACTGTGTCAATTAAATTTAGAATTCAGTCATTAAAAATAAGCATATCAAGAATTTTTCAGGAGTCGTGATTAACTGTGGCTAGTAAAAGAAGGATGAAGTTTCTATCTTAGGTAGTTACCCTACTTGTGTTAGGACATGACTTGAATCCAAATTGTGCCTTGCAGGTACGTGGCCTAGAATTGCTTAATTTAAGAAAAAGACAGTAGTTCCTGGGTTCTACTTCAAGCCTTCTGCGCCTCTTCCCCAATCCCTCACTCCCTTTCAGAAATAATCTAATTGTGAGACTTAAAAGAGTCGTCATAGCTGTTTCACATGAGATAGTAGCTCATGGTAAACTTTTCAATTGCCAAAAACTAAGTGTGTTAGGTTCTTTAACTGTATTACAGCTCCCATTTGGATTAAAACTCATTCCAGTGGCTGATTGAAGGAGTGGAAGTAGCATAATATCAAATGTTTGTTTTTATAAAATTAAAGCACTTGTTTATCTAGAGTAAGCTCTAAAAATGACCGTGAGTTTTAATTGAGTAGGAGTACCTAATTTCTGTAATGCTGTTTCTTTTTGCAGTTAAGTGTCTCAAGAACACACCAGCTTTTTTTGCTGAAAGATTGCACAACGCTATGAAGGTAGGTGCCTATGACAAGATGCATTAACTTTGTGTTTTTTAATATGCATGTACAGCTCATTGGAGTGAATTGTTCAGCTACCTTGGAAATAACAAAAAAAATACCATCACTAATGAGCTGAAGGTATTTAAACTTTTCAGTGAGCAGAAGGCTAATAAGATGCAGTCATTATTATGCCAGACTGGAAAGATCTAGCTTACGTGATCTCACCCGTTGAAGTGATGCGTACAACCATACATTAGAAAAAGAAAATCTTCACTTTGCAAGATGCTTAATAGGCTTAATTCTCATTGAAACTGATATCTTTTAAGTAGAGGCATCTAGCCAAAATAAGTAAATAGGCCTTTCAACTTGTCAGACTTCCTTACTTCTCTGCACAAGAACAGTTTAAAATGGGGTAAGAAGAGGGCCAGAGAGCAATTGTCAGTCCTACCAGTAAATATTTAATTCATTAAAGCTTGATAGGCCAAATTCTGTTCAAGCCCATGGAATTGAATGGGGTTATGCTAGTAAAGGGTTGGTCTTCTGTGCATGTGTCTTTTGGGTGCTTTTTGTTTTTTGGGGGAGCGGGGGCATTGTTTTGGGGAAAGGGTTTGGTATATGCTTTACAGTAGTGCTGTATCGTACAGAATATCCACACATTATTAATGCATTATAGTGTTGTGTTTTGTTTGTTTCAGGGAGCAGGAACAAAAGACAGAACTCTGATTCGAATCATGGTGTCACGCAGTGAGGTTGACCTGCTGGACATACGCACAGAATACAAGCGGATGTATGGCAACTCCCTCTATGCAGATATCACTGTAAGACTTCGGAGTTCTTGTTTTGCCTCCTATGGCTTGCTTTCTGCTAGTAGAACATGGATCCTTACATTGAGTAGCTATTATTGCACTGAGTGTAGCTGACTGGTTTGCTGATTTGTCAGGAGAGTAGAGGTGGAAGAGCCGTGGAAGAGACAGCACTTGCTTTTTTGTGGGGTTAAATGAGCTGGAGACGTCAAAGAAGCCAACAGACAGGAAGGGAAGGATATCTGGTCCAGAGAGATTTCAGAAACCTGGAATCAAGTCTGGTCTCTCTCCCAGTCTCCACATACAACCTTGTAGAAGTCACTTAGTCCTCCAGCTCCTTAGATCATTTTGAATAAAATGGAGGTAATAGTGCTACTCTAACTTATGTATGTTGGAAGAGTTTAATGGTTCTTTTATGCTTTTAAAAGACTATCTCCTCTCCCTTGGAAGGAGGAGATTTTGGAAATAGACTAAATCTTACGTTATTTAGCATCCCCCTTCTCTGTAGGCAAGATGAAAAGTTGCTTCACTCTTTATTCTTATTAAGAGCTGTAGCAGCAGTCAAGGGGATGCCAGACCAACAGGGCGTTAGAGCTGGAGGAGAGTGAGTGGTGCTACTTTCGTTCACTTCATAATGAAGGTGCCAAATCCATCCAGTCCCTAATTACTCGAACTGCTAGTGGCACTGATCAAAAGGATGCAGCTCAATGGCGGCTGGAAGAAACCCTGGAAAGATAGTGAAGGATATCCTTTTTGCCAAAAAGTCTTGATGTGGGTCTTCTACTAGCAATTATATGGTCACTTTGCCTATAGGACACAGAGGATGTACTTGAAGAAGCTTTCTCCAAGTCTGTGTCTCTGAGGTAAAGATGTGCTTCTGTTACAGTAGTTACCTGCCTTGTAACTGCCAATGTATAATGAGAAGTTTAATGTTTACATTTTTTTTTCTTTTTTAAATTGATGTTATTAGCGATAACCGATATGTAATAATTTTACAGTTCAGAGGTAGGAACAGGTAATTCCCATTTACTAGACTGAAGTTATTCAAAACATGGTTTAGGTAAACGTGGGACATGCATGCGCGTGGTTACGTGCATGTAAACCCCACAACATACTTCCATAGAAGCAGAGCCAAAATATCCTTGGAAAGTTCTTCAATTCCTGTCTCTTTTCTTGGAAAAGTATAACAGTTCTCTCTTTTCAGCGGATATATAAAGGGCAATGTTTTTTTATGTTTTGCAGCTTTGCTGTGCTTTACACCTACACATAGAATTTATCCTGATCTTTGCAGCACCTCTCTGTCCCTATTGTAATAATTTTGATCTGAACAAAACAGTTCTCAGTCATACCTGAAAATGAAGGATGGAATAAATGTACTAGCTGAAACTGTGCTGTGAAAAGACTTGGCAAGCCTCCTCGGCCAAGAAAAGTTAGTTAGCAGGGAACACTCATTAGTCATAAGAGCACCAGGCAAAATTCAGCTGACAGGACTTTTTTGATTAGTTGCTGCTGTTCCTGAAATATTTTTTTCAGTGCATGTTTGTGTGTACATCCAGCAGTGGCTTTCACTGCCCACAGCATGAAGACGTTCTGTGTTTGAAGGTAGGGAGAGAAGGGGGAAGAGAACTCTCGATGCCAGAGCGTTCTTTTTAATCTTTGGACATAATAAGGAGTAAACTTTCTGTCTGCTCCTGGAAAGATATCCATGTTGAGTAGGAGGAGGAGAGCTTTGGGACTCTGTATTCCTGTTTCCCATCATATTTCCATACCTGTTGCAGGAAGACAGTTCAGTGAGGGATTTTTATTTTGATATTCCTGGAGAAGTAATTGAACCTGTATGCCATATTCAGTTTGCTGAAGAAATACATTCTCTGAGGGTGTTTTTTTTTCTATTCTAGTTCTGGACTTACTGTGTACATGTGTGAGGGTAATTCCTAATTAGCAGGAATTTTTAATAGTGAAGGTTAAAGCCTGCTTTCTTTTCCCCTAGCTTTCTGTCTTGCGATTATTTTCAGGATGTTATTTTTCCAAAATGTTTAAGATGCTTACCTTTCATCTTCCTCTCTTTAATCCTTCAAGAAAATTAAAAAAAGGTCCTCAACCTTTCCTCTTTTGGATTTGTTTCCAGGGTGATACTTCAGGAGACTACCGGAAAATCCTACTCAAGTTGTGTGGTGGGAATGACTAACTGGAGCATTGAGGGTTTTTCTGATTTTGTTTGTTTTTAAAGCTGCTATTTTCATGTTTTTGCTTTAAAGTATCCTTTTCCCTCCCCAAAAGTAGACCTATAAAGAACTGTTTTTCCTAAAGCTATTGCATTTCTAAAGTTCATTTTCCACATCGCTTCCCTTCCACTCAAAAATATCATGTAATAAATACCAAAGGAAAAAAATGAAGCTTATGTACCATCTGTTCAAGATTTTTTTTTAAGCACTCTAATCAATGAATAACAAGTCATTCTGCTTATGATATTATGCTGAATTAATACGTATTCTGGAGCAAAAATCATAGTTGTATGATTTAAGGTTTTATTTTGTATTAACATTATGTGCCATTTTAATGCCAGTTTTATATATGTGCACAATGGTAGTTTTATGCTAGTCTGCTCCCTGATAGGTGGAGAGAACAGGCTCAAGTTTGTTTGGGGTCTAGTTAAGACTGTTTTAAAGGGGTTTTGTCAAGTTCTATTTTGTTTGCTTGTTTGTCTATTTTTAAGGAAGATGTATTCTACATTTCATTCTCACTAGGGCAACTGTCATAAGGCAGTTGCCCTGACAATAGTAAAGATTCTCTAGTTAATGTTTTAAGGTTTTGGATTGTGCCTTAAATGTATGTATCTAAAAGATTACAAAATTAAAGCTGTCTATCTTCTAACCCTTTTGCAGACTATCCTTTTTTGTTGTTTGTGTCGGCCTACGTGTGAGTGATGACTCAGTCTTCTTACTTAGTTTTTCCATAGAAGTTCTCTGCTTGAATTCACAAAGAAGTATTCAGAAATTGAATTGTGTTGGCCAAAGTTCAGGGTTTGTGTGCTGTTGGTGAACAATTTTTTGTACGTGATTTATATAATCTGTAGTTATTTCTCAGTATTTTTGTTTTGCATGTTGTAACTTCTCTTCTCTGGCTCTTGGAACTCTTAAATTTTCATCCTCTGTTAGTATGAATGACGTGTTCAGTTTGTCATCCTCAAAGAAGAAACGTCAAAAAGTACAAGGAGGGAGAGACATGGAACTAGGTCAGTGAAAAAAGACTGCTTGTTAATCAAGAACGTGCCAACTCCTTCCCCTGTTTCTTTCCTCCCCACCTACTCTGTAAAGGTCAGGCAGGTCCTAGAATATGTTGCGTTGCTGTTTGTCATGGGAGAATTCAGACCTTCAAAATGCAAGTTTAAAACAATACGTGAGTAAGAGAGTTGCATTATTTCATGGGGAAGCAGTGCTTATCTGAGATGGGCAGATAGATGGGAAGGGACTTGAAACCTTTTTCTTCTTAAAAAAAAAAAAAAAAAGAAAAAAGTATACAGTTTTGATTTCTGAAATTTGTTAGCGCCCATACCTGTACCCCTGTGTTGTATGTTCCGATTTTTAGTGAAGATTCTGTATACCTTAAGGGTAAAATATACTGAATTCATCTCTCTCTTTCTTTTTTTTCCCCCCCCTAGGGAGAGGGGTGGATGTTGGAATTAATTCTGGGTTGGGCTGTCAGCACAGCAGAAGGGAGGTTGAGCAGTGCAAAGCTATTGGAATAAGGTGATTCTACTTCTAAACTACAAATGTCAGTCCAGACTCTGGCTAAAATGTGCACTTACAGCTCCCATTTTAGTCAGTGGCAGCACTGTGACTGTGTCCAAAGCCAGACTACGCTGTATTCTGTTTTTTGGCAGACAATTTAAGCCTATCTTGACAGGAAGCTACTGAAAGTGTATCTTCATTGGTTCACACCAATAGCAAGGATTCAGTCCTTTGCCAGGGAAGGAATACCATTTTGAAGTAAGGGATGTTGGTTAGCTGTTAGCTTTAGTCCAAGACCCCATCTGATCCTGATTTCTTACTGAGAATGCTGTACTTGAAATACAGTCTTAGGTATGGCTACTGAAATATTTAAAATGTAAAGCTTTGAAAGGGTATTTAAAAGCAAGTAATTTTTTATTAAAAAGCACAGGAACACAGAAGGCAAACTCCTGCTCAGGATTGTTCATTCCAGCTCAAATTCTGGAAATACAAAGAAGCTTATTACATGAACAAAAGTGCAACTATATATGACAACCATATTGATGCAGATCTCTTCCATCTTCCCAGTGCTCAACTGGCATCTGTATAGAGAAGAATTGATGCAGTTATTTTTGGTTATAAGATCAAGATCAATCTTTCTGGATAAGCATATCACTTAAAACATGAAGCCTGTTACTTCAAAGTAATGGATTTTCTCACTTTGCCGATTCATCAGATCACAGAAGGAAGGTCCTTGAACTCAGCGATTCTTGACCCCTTTGGCAGTTATTGCAACCTTCATCTGAGGTAATATTTATTATAGTTGTGCTGCACATCTGCAGCAGTAGTGTGTGGTTGGTTGACTTACGATTTCTATTTAAATCAACTGTAACACTTCACCGGGATATTTTTCCCTTTGAAATAGATATGACTATTGCAGAGGAGTACATTAACTCCTAACCATTAACTACCTCTTACAGAAGCTTAGGCAACGTAATGAATAAGAAAATGGATGAGGGCATAGATTTTAATTCCAGTTTCTGTAGCAGTCATGGTGACTAGATTTGTACAACGAACTGCAAGAGGAGCTGCAAACCAACATAAATCCTACTGCGGCCTACTTCAAGCCTGCCTTATTTCAAATTAATGCATTATAGTATGGTTATGTATTTATGTGTATGTACACACATAAACAAAACTAACTTCATAAATAAATGTCTGCGTGATGCTCATATCTTTCAACAAGAAGTTTACTCTCCACTGGGAACATCTCTCACCTTCCTAAATGCAGTGTTGATATGCAGTCAGAGACTGAAGAGGACAGAATATTGTAAGAAGCTGTATAGAAAAGGTTGTCTTGTCCAAATCATTTTCCTTCTGGTTTAAGTTATTCCAAGAAACACTTAACTAGAACTACATTTTGCATGTGGCTTGCATGTCAAAACTGGATTTAAACTGTTAAAATTGTAATATTTCCAATAATTTTTGGGGGGTTTTGTTACTCTTATTTTAAGTGACACGTGAGACTAAAGAATCACAGGATCATAAAACTGGAAGAAATCTTGAGATTGCTTAGCCTATCCATCCTGCTCTTCTAAGGCGTGATGAACTGTGTATCTCATTCCTCTCAGATACTTGTTTAACACTTCCAGTGTTGGGGAGAGTACAGTTATGTCATTCCAGAAGTTCACTGTCTTTGTAAGAAAGTTTTGTGTTATATTTTGCTTGAATCTTCCTTGCTGCATTATTTCTTGTTGTTTTTTCACTTTTGCAATGGGGAAGAAAATACGGCTTTCATCCTTGCAATACCCTTGCTCGTTCTGGTGGGCTCCTTCAATATTCTGTAGACTAAACACCCGCAATTTATCAGCCTTTCTTTGTAAGTCGTGTATCTAGCTCTTTGACTTTTTTTTCCTCTGTTTTCAGTGGTTGCTGAAATGTGATCAAAACAGGACCTAATATTTCAGCTGAGGCCTTAGCTGCATTGAATTGAATGATTACCTCAAATCAGGGGGGCAAAAGATCACCCATTCAGTAATAACATAAGCAACACTGTTGCCAGCGTCTAGTTACAATCTACTAGATACTTACCGTCAAAAATGTCTATAAGTGGGGTTCCTGGAGTCATGGGGATGTTCCATGCTGTCTCACTGATGATATTGAGTAGTGACTTTACTTCCGATTCTAGATACTCCACTGCTTTTATAACTTTCTAATGAAAACAAGGAAGACAAGTGGAGAAAGGGGTGGTAAAAGGGTCAAGTAGAAGGAATTGTACCAAATAGGTTAGCAGAAGAGCAAATCTAATGGCTCATAATACTAACAGGTGATCTAATTTATACTTAACTGCAGTGACTTACATCTTTCTTGTGCTATACTGGCCTCTAGTGGTCCTGAGGAATTAAGATTTCATTTGCAAGACTTAAAATTTTACCACCTCTGTATAAAGAACCACCTGTAACGTTCACCTCTTAGAGGAAGCTTTGTATGGTAGTGGGGTTTTTTTTTTTTCTTTTTTTAATTATTTTCTGTTTCTGAGCTGCCATTGCATCCAAGAGAAAAAAATCTACCAGAGAAGATGAGACGAGCTGACTGGGAGAGGGGGAATGAAGATGATTAGGATGAAAGCAGGAGGGATAACATTAGCATCTGAGAACCAACAGAATGCAGTCTGGCAGCTACCCAGCTTGCAGTAGTTAGCGCTGAACACAAATCTTGTGGGTACTTAAGACTCAAGGGAAAAATATTAAAGCATTCCAACTTTGCTAGAATCCCAGTCACAAAGTGCGTTTAGCTTTTGAGCGTCCAAAGGAGCAGAAGCTCCCCCTTCTATTTTTGAGTCATCTACAAAATTCTCATTTAACCATGAGCACATGTGGAAAGCTTTGCACTGTCTCCAGAAGTAGGACCTTTCCAGTGGTAATTAAATATCACTGCTCTTAGGTATGTTAAGACCCTGTTACAGCAGTTGAAGATACTTTTTTTTTTTTTTTTTTAAACTGCACTCACTTAGGTGCTTCTTCCTACTTCAGCCTAGCTGCTGGAAATATGTAATGGGTTGTTAGCCTTTTGGATGTGATACAGTATTCATCTCTTTTCTACTGGCCTTTTATTGAAAGGCTGGAACTCTTGACCAATGCAGCAAGTCTGTGGGTTTCAGTTTAACTTTACCGATACCAATTCTGAGGTTGTTATACTAAAGGCACTGTTCCAAACACTTTAGAAAAGGCAAATAAATAATAGCTCAATGGTTGGCTAATCAGTTGTTTAGAATCCATCAGGATGATATGTTTTTACTAATAATGGTTTCATAGATAGTTATAAAACATTACATCTGAAAAAAATAGCCCCTGCATTTTTTTCTTATAGGATCAAGAAGGAACAGTGGCTAAAAACATGATGATTCTTATTTTTCTTTGGTCAAAGGGTTAGGGCAGAGTTCTAGTTTGGTCCAGGAGTGAATGCAATAGCTCTTACCTCTTCGATAATATCCAAGCGTTTGTGGATAGTATCGTGTTCGTTACACCAGCCTGCTCTTCCTAAAGCTCCAGGTAACACGCTGACAGGGTCTGCAGCAGCTGGAAAAAGTCACAATTCATTAACAGGAGGTTTTTTTGAATGCAGTCCTTACGTTTCTGAGTACAGAAGTGATATTTGACATGCTAAATGACCTTGTTTATGAAACACAGATGTAGGAGTCCCAGGTAGAAACTGAACCTCTCCCAGTAATTGCAGCCCTACCCTACCCCTGTGAATCTCTCATTGTGTTGTACATTGTCAAGATTGTTTGGAACAAGCTTGCTATTGGGCTGGGACTGGGTTTTTTGGTGCTTGTTTTTTACATGGTCTGTGTTTTTCCTGGCTTGTAGGGTAAGTTTATAGATTTAATGTAACTCTGTCTCTGCCAGTATAAAATCTAAGCATTATGAAGGCACATCAGTTCCTCTTGGACTTTCCACAGAAGTAACTGCAACTGCTGTGAGGAGCAGCCACGTTTGTCCACTTATGCCCTAAAGAGATGGAAGCTGGTGATTCTGTCATGTCAGAAACGTGGCTGCAGCAGTCTCTCTTTTTTTTTTTTTTTTTTGGTCGGTGGGAAGGGAAGTGATAAAAGCATGTGCTGTTCGTGCCATTTGCTGTCCATGTCCCTTGTCTGTGGTTTACAAAGTCACCCAGCTCAGTCAGTTTATCTGTGCAGACCTCTTAGTACTCAATCTCTTGCTTTCTTTGAATGCTTGATTCTGTTGGCCATACTCCATGAAAGGGCAGTGGATACCTGTCCATGTCCATGCTTTAGTGGAACCAGTTTCCTTTTCCTAACTTTTTTGATGCATTTGGTAACTTTTCAATTTTAGCATATTTATATAGAGCTGTAGCAGAGTATTTTAAAACCCACTGAAGTGGCACTATGTCTTGCTCCATGTTTGTAAAGCTAAGTCTTGATCTTGAATGAGGTGTGAGGATACTATAATGATAAGAAATTAGCAGTAACTCATTTCATTCTCATTTGGTTGTAATGAAGGCAAACAGAGGAAACTGCTAGTTTGCTTTATAATGAACATTTAGAAGCAGGAGAGGAGCAAACAATACTGTCTTCAGTTCTGTTGTGTGCGAGCAGTGATTTGGAACTGGTGCAATGTTTCACTGCAAGTCGGTGCCAAGATTTTTAGAGTTGTAGGTATCAGATGATGGCAAACATATGCTAGTAAGGCTTGTAGCCGTTGCAGTTTGATTGGATGAGAAGTGCGCCGAGAGTTGGAATGGCATCCTTGAAATTGGGAGGAGTGAGGAGGGTAGGATTAAAATGTGATCTGATGTACTAGGAGTGGCATTTCTTAAGAACTAGTTTGGCAGAGTTTTAGAGGAGGATATTTTTGTTCATTTATTTGTAGCAGATTTTAATTTGGTTTTTGATGCATTTACCAGGAGGTGGTGAATCCCAGTGAATTAATATGCCTGTTTAATATTTACACAAGACTGGTGGAGTGTGTACTTAAACGCTAACTACTCTGCAGTTGCACTTTTTTTTTTTTCTTTGTTGCAGCTGTTGGTGTTCTGGGAGTGTTATTATTTCATCCATGTTACTTCTTGAAAGTTTTGCACGTTAGGATGTTTATTCCATCCTGGCCAGAACAATTGAAGTTTTGTGCCAGAAATGCAGGTTACAAAGCAATGGCCAGTCTTTCTCTACAAACCCTGTCTATCTTAATAATAGGATAATAATGAGGTAACCTCTATCTTACTGTCAGAGACTAATAGAATTCCCACTTTTCTAATATTCGCAGCTCTAAGCCTGATGATCTGAGTCACCAGGATGCGGAAGTGCTGCCCATCATTTTGAGGAGAGGACCTAGGGCAAACAGAATGTATGGCGATGAGATCCAACTACAAATGAACTGTGAAAATGAGGCAACAGAGCTCCTTAGATGAACTAAGAGCAAATGTAAGGATTTAGGAATCCCACAAGGGATTATTTTTCACTATATTAATCCAACTGTAGGTGGTTGGATCACAAACTTGAATGGGAAGTTTGGGTGAGGGCCAGCACAGTTATATACGTTTATTAAAGGAGCTTTTGGCCAGCTGTAAGTCACATGCCAGGCTTGTTTAGTTTTTTCTGTTCCCTAGAAATGGAAAATGTAAGGGAGCTGATGTTAGCTACTTCAACTTAGTGTTGGTTGGCCAGTTCACTTTCTCTGATCATGCTTCATATATCTTGCTGGTCCATTAAAGAAAACAGAGCTCTGCTATAAGAAAAGCAGAAGTAACTGTCCTGTCGGACTCAGACTCTGACCCAGGGATTCTCTGACCTTTCCAGACTGTCTAGTGGCACAGGGTACGTTCCTACTAGCACGCTAGCACTATGCAGAGGCTCCTTTCATCTTTTTCCTGATACAGAACCTTAAATCCTCATCAGAGCTGCAAAATATTGTGCCGAAGTGACTGTTTGAAGCAGAAATGATATAAGGTCTACCCAAAATACCACTTTAATCATTGCGTTAGCCATAACCCTTTTGTGTGAAAGAAGCTTCTGTTCTGCGCAAACCTCAGCGTCCTGCTGAGCCTGACTCCTGCCCTAAGCAGATGTACACAGATCGAGAGAGAGGTTAGACATCATGGATGACCCAGCAATTTGTTCAGAGTAGGGTATTTTGTGATAGGTGTAGAAAGACATTGTAAGGTTGTTGCATTTCACTGTGAGGTTAGCAAGAGACTGTACAGCTTTGTGCAAATATGCACCTCTAGAGAACTAAGTGGAAAGGTTACTCTGAAATGCAGGCTTCAGGAACAGTTGGTTCTTTGTGGGGGTTGTTTTTTTCTCTTTTGACAGAGAGAGCGCGCTTTCTCACATTGCCAGATTTTGAGAGCATGTTGCTGCTTTGTAAGAGGTAATGGACTTATTGAAAGAGGAGGAAGTGTCTCATGGTAGTGTGATAGGATTGTAAGATCCTGCCCAGAACGTTAGGACCAGGGCAGTGACTACAAAATATGACAATTGGTCCAAAGTATGGTGTTCTCTGAAGGCTGGCCCAGAAGAAACCGCCTCAGCCAGGACCTGTGTGTCTGTATCTGATTAGCAACTTGCACACCTGAGCAGAAGTGCTCTTGCCTTTGTGATTGCCACTCTCCCCCCCGTCCCCCACCAGAACAGGGTACTTCAGGGGGCTGTTGCTGCTGTTGGCTGGGCAGCCAGTGCTTTGCAGCCAGTGCTTTGGACAGTGTAGTTCCTACTTTTCCTCTGTTTTCTGAGCCTTGGCTTGAGGCTTTGGCTTCCTAAACCTGATTATTATTTTGTTTACTGGCTTTAGCTGTTAATCCACAGCCTTTATCAGTGGGCTGGGCTGTTGGCAGGACACATCCGGTCCCTTGTAAATATGACATGTATCTAGGTCACTATGGTCAGGCAATTCATTGAAGCAATAACTTCCATGTGCTCGAGGAGAATCACACATTGCTTATGAATGCTGCCCTTCTCTGTATTGCAGTCGCTGAAAGAAAGTGACACAGTTTGACTTCAGAGCTGACCTTCTCCAGCAGCATCGCTGTCTCGCATGGTAATATTGGATAAAGGGAGTGAAGAAGGGAAGTCTGCAAGCTACATAAGCAAAATACTAGTGACCTTTTAGGGTACGTCCGTGTACGTGCTCTCCGTTGCTGAAGAAACATTTGAAAAACGTAAATTGGAAATTTTTCCTTGCCTGTGTTATCAAGGCACCTTGATCTCCAGAGGTCTCTTCCAACCTCAACCGTTCTGTGATTCTGTGTTTTGCATAAATGCAGCAAAACGTTGATGTTAAATTTTAAAACTAAATTTTAAAGGTAAACTGTTCTTTGCATACTGTATAAGACATATTTAAAATTGAAGTGTGTGTTTGCAACTTCAAGCAAGTGCGCATGTTTATAGAATGAATTTAGGATTTTAGGCTGTTTTCTAGGACGCACACTTCAATGTCTGGAATATCTCTTTTGAAGTGTAATGAATTAGTTCAGGAGGATATTGGCTGTAATGTTTCAATATGGTGGAGAGAACATTACCTTTACATCCATTTCCCATTTGCAAATCCCTGCCTGATACTTCTTGCACATCAAAATATTAAATTCTTAAAGTCCGTGCTATTTAATATATAGGTGGTTATTTTCTGTTAAGAATTAAGGAATCATTCATTCAAGAAGACAAAATGACCCATACGCTTATAAGAAGTTAAAACACTTATGCATGCTACCAGTCACCTAGAACCTTAGACTTGTTCTGTGCGTTGTGCCTCATTTTTTTCCTCTAATTAAAATCCTCTGAGCTACATTGTTGATGCCTGTAAAAGCTGAGTAGCTCTTAACTGCTCTCTGCTGTGATACAGCTAGAAACCGGTAGATGGAGCAGAAAAACAAAGAATCTCTGAGGCAGTTTCTAACAAGAATCCATCTAATGGAAGTGTATGAAAGAGGTAGTATGATGAAGAGTAAAGAAGATCTATGTATTATGATCAAAAAAGAGCAAAGAACTGAGTATTAACACAACCTGAACAAACAGGTTAAGAACAAAGGCTTTAGTTATATAACCTTAATAACCTGTCTCAGGAGAGCTCCTTTGTCTCATCTACATTTGGTGTATTTTTCTCACCTTCCATTTGTTGCTGTTTCATGCTTCTTTAAGAATCCATCAAGATTCTGTCTATTCAGATGCCATCATTTATTTTTCATATATATATAATGTGTGTAGGCATATGTGGTTATGTTGATGTGTCTACATTATATACAAACATATGTAAACATATACACAGAATCCTACACAATCTCTGGTTGAAGTTAGTATCAAAATTCAGAGAGGTATTGCCAGCTTTTACTTTGCTAATAATAAGTCATTACATGACATCTCTTGTGCTCCCCACTATCCAATCCCAGACCATTAGTGCTACGTACAAGCAAACTCATGTCAGCATATCTGTGTGTCACAAAGATATGCGTTGGAGTGGTGGGAGAGCAAAAAGCATAAAATGATTGAAAGCTGGAGCAGGACAATTTAGACTAACATGCATATTTTTAAGTTAGCCAATGGAACAATTTAGTAACTGATGTGGCC